CGCGCCTTGTGATTTTTATTTATTTCCAAAAATTAAAGAAAAACTTAAAGGAAAGCGGTTTATGAATGCTGAAGAAGCGGTGGCTGCGTATCGCGATGCCATTGAAGAGACCCCTAAGGACGAGTGGGCAAAGTGCTTTTCCCAGTGGTTCCATCGCATGCAGCGGTGTATTGACGTGAATGGACAATATTTTGAAAAGATATAATAAAACTAATAACTGGCTAATGTAATCAGTTTTTGATTTTCTAAGAACTTTCAGTTTGACCCTCGTATTAAGAATTGTCTACTCAGTAAATGATATACTGTTAATGAATATTTAAACGACAAAACTGCTTGGTTTTAAACTGTGGTTTTAAATATGGCTTATTTTTCATATATGTATATTAAATTCTTCATCGGTGAGCTTCTTTGGCTACACATGTGATTTGATTGACGAAAATACTGTTTTGCTCTTATATTGTGAAATATTGTAATAGAAAGTGACTTAAACAGAAAAACTTCATATTTTAATGACTTCATTAAAATATGAAGTTTTTCTGTTTCACAAAAAAGTAGCCCTTGCCGTGCTTCTTGCCGGTTCTTCTCTGTACAAGGCCTCCTGCCGTAGATTTACGAACCGCTGGCGTAGCTCTCGACTCTCACAAGGCTAGACTGAATAAATAATTTTGATTTTGTTGGGTTATGACCCTCCACGCTGGCCTAATGCGGATTGGAGGGTATTAACGACTGCAAATGCAGCCGGGACCAACGGCTTAACGTGCCTTCCGAAGCACGGAGTAGCTCGAGATAATGATTCTATGGTCACCCATCCCGTGACCGACCCTTGCGAAAGTTGCTTAACGACAACGATCGCGGGCCGCGGCACCTATCCACTACGCCACTTACTCCGTATCCCGTAGACCACGTACTAGTATATAGTACACGTACATTTACTAAGTATTTGTTTAATAATATGAATTTTGACTACTATTAATTGCAGTCTCAGCGCAAATTTACTCCAACTCTAAACCTTGTTTATTAATAACACTGTAAAAGTTCAAGAGAGAACAACAAATTATCGATGACTTACAATAACATACAATAAGTTTAGTTGATAGTGCTTACGAGCTTGGCGGCGTGAAACTAAGGGAAGTCGAGGTGATTCGAGATCTTGGTGTCAATATCGGCAGTAAACTGAAGTTCGACATACATTTGGATGTAATGGTTTCTGGTGCTGCTAAAATGCTTGGGTTTATTAAGCGTAATACCAAAGGGTTTAGGAACGTAAGTACTAAGATTCTGTTGTACAATGCGTTGGTACGCAGCCATCTCGAATTTGCATCGTCTGTCTGGCGCCCTTTTTATAGTGTTCACTCGCAAAGAATTGAGAGCATTCAGAGAGCATTTACTAGACATCTTGCCTTTTTTCGCAGTGGATTCTCTCATCGACAACCTTATAAAGAAAGGTTAGTTGAATTTAAGATGACTAGTCTCAGCGATCGAAGATGTTTGTTAGACATGAGTTTCTTACATAAACTTATTAATGGGCATATTAAATCTAATGAGTTAGTATCACGTTTGTCTTTGACGGTGCCTGTGAGATATCCCAGACACCATATAAGCAAAACTTTTGCTAGACCGTTTACCAGAACCAATGTTGGTCTACAGTCTCCTTTGGTGCAAATTTGTGGCGAGTATAATGATCTTTGCAATAATATATTGGATTTGGATGTGTTTCACAATAGCTTGCATACTTTTAAAATGAAAATTTTTGAAAATTTTGGTTAAATTTTTCTATCTTTATCTATAAAGTAAAGTAACAAAGTAGCACTTTCTCGATATTTTAATAGGTACGGTGAATGTTATGTACGCCGTTAATTTGATGCATATCAGAATTGTTTTCTTTTAGTTAATATTCTTAACCTTAATTGTTTTAACATGTATCATGTGGCTGTACTGTGCAAATAAATAAATAAATAGTGCCACTATTCACTTGGTAAAATTTAGAAAATCTCTATACCCAATCCTTATCTTCTTGAGACACTCCAACAGCAATTATTGGACGTCCTCGATTATTCCAGTTCTATTTCTTGGTTATGGTTATAAATAATCTTTAATGCTTTACAAAATAAGTCTCCATAAAAGTATACATTTAGGTAATTTAGTGGTAAACATTAAAAATATCCATTCTATAAGAGATTCGAAAACATTTATAATAACTATCATTGGCTTTACTGTGTGTAAAGTGTAGACTTTAGAATTTAAGCCAATATAACTCCTGTAAAAGTTTAGTAAAATATTTTGTTTGACTTCACATTTGCTAATTGTATATTTTAGGAATTCAAATAATAAACTCTGAGTTGTTTTTCTTAGCATTGGCGGTCTGCAGTCATTGTCACCCACCCATCCGTACAGCCCCGTGCCGTGAGCTGACGTTCTTTCTTATTACACACAAAGAATACATCCTTATTGACAGTAGAGCAAATGATTGAAAAAAATTTTTTGAAAAAAAAGGTAAACAATACTCATCTCATAAGCGACTTATTCACGAAATTGCTATTGAAGTCGAATTTTTCTGTAGGTTATTACTCGTAATTAAATAGTAGGCGCCCGATTAATATTTGAAATCGGTTCTACATTTTGTAAAAGTTTTTATTTCATTATTTTTATTATTATATTGATATTATCTTACAAAAGGGATTTTTTTTCGCTCGACAAATGTTTTTCCAATAATCTATATTAATAGTTTATTTGCATTGGATAGGCCCAGAAACTATTAGACCGATTTCTAAAAGTCTTTCATCTATAGGAAATTACATAGACTTTAATTTACGCAGGCGAAGTCGTTGAAGAAACAGCTTGTTCGATAGAAATTGGTTCACAATTCAAAAAGAAATCGATGCTTATTCCTACCCCTATATATAATACTTTACTTTACTCATTGACACTATCTATGACTTTCATAAAAAAATATACATTAAAGAGTAAATTATACATACTCAAATATAGGCTCATGGAAATAGAGACAATCATCAAACCAGTTATAGGTAGTCTAATGAAATAAATTTCTCATTTAACTTGACTGACTTACTGAATTATCTCGGCTATTCCTCCTGTTAAGGCTCCTTTAGGTTTCTTAATCTACATTCGACTCTAACAAGAATCTAGAGTCAACTCTATTGATGTTGTGGTTTTAAATAATTAACTATTTTTATTGCTCTGTACCACGATTGTGTTTGTCATTTTTCCCCAAAGGTTGAATGGGAAAAAATGCTACTATCAATAAGTCTGCCTTTTAAGCGTGGTACATGCTTGTATTTATCAACAAAGTTCAATAAATAATAATTTATACCCAAACAATTTTTGAAAAGTTTTAATTGTGTTTGTGATACGTTTTAATCATCATCTTATTAATATCACCACTGCTGGAACACAGGCCTTCGCTATGATGACCTAATAAATTTTTGGTCACCCATCCTCTGACCGGTCCTTGGGATACATTGATACATTGTATGATCGAACGACAATAATATATAAAAAAATATAATTACGCAATAAGAGAAGCATCAAGATAATAAATAAATATAAGACATCACATACATTGCTCTAATAACAATAGAATAGGTGAAAGCCCCGTATTATGGAGTATCTGATTGATAAAACGAATGTACCACAACTCCCAGACCCGAGACAATATAGAAAATCCATTTTCTACATTTACCTCAACCGGGAATCGAACACGAGACCTCAAAGATAGCGACACCTTCGCTTTTTTCGTTCGCGTTTGACATTACCACTGGAGGCGCTAGTGTAACGTGAGGTCTTCAAAATATCAAATATATACTTTGTCGGTCTATCAATAATAAATAAATGTCAAAGGTTAATACTGTATTTATTTTTCCTAATCCTAATTTGATATACGAAAAAGGTCCCTAAATCTAAGTAACTTAGAAAGACTTTTTCTAACATTAGCTACTTAAACATTCTTTTGAGAACCTGTTTTCCATTTATTTCGAATTTATGTATAATTTCACTCAAATTCTTGGAAATATCTTTTTGTTCTAATAATATTTCTTCTAACTAAAGGCATTAAGATCACTTTACAGTAGATACATTTTTATCCTCATAAAATATATCAACTTTCAAAGAACATATTTCCGAGAGTTTTTTTTCTTATAATATACATTATAATATTTGTCCATAAGATCTATTAAGACATTTTTATCAATGTTTTCTACTTCGTTAGTTACCTTTATAATGTATTCATTTATTTATATCACAGATATTAAAATAACATAGTGTATATCTTTACTTCTATACTAATATTATAAAGAGGTAAGATTTGATTGTTTGTTTGTTTGCAACTAATAGGCTATGAAAAAAAATTTAAAAATTCTTTCGCCTACTGAATATGCGGTAAACATAGGCTATACGAGTATTTTATTCCGACTAATAGCAAATAAAGGGTTTAGAACGTTCCCATTGTTTACTATGCAATTTGTCATTGTAATTACATATATTCGTGCCATGATATGAATGGATATCTAAGTAAACAGTTTCCTAGAGCCTACGCGAGCAAAGCCACTGGCGAAAAGCTAGTTAAATACTATAGCTAATATCATGTCAGTACATATCTGCATTGCATTTATATAATTTTGATTATTTTAAATAAATATTTTAGATTGAATTATAGAAAAATACATGTTGCTTTAAATTCGACTTTATAAAGTGAATGCAGTATATTTTTTTCATGAATTTCATTTTAATGGACATCTTTATTGTACATTTGATCTAATATTCAATCTTGAAGACATTTTAAAGCACACCGTTTATTTATCTGGTTTTTAAATGAAAAAGAAAATGAAAAATTCATACTTTTTAAATAATTTCTTTGTATTTCACATCCTTATCACATTTTATTTTATGAAAATAAAACAGTCGAACACATTTATTAACTTACACTATGTACTTTAATACAATTTGAGACCTTTTCTTTTATTACACACGATATCTTTTTGTTTATCACGATATAAATCCAGATTACGCACTATTACCGAGACCCATGTTCATAGCATTCAAAATATCACCATTGTCTGCATCAATCTCCCACGCAAACAAACCGCCCAACTTATTATTTCTAACATATTTACCCTTCTCTATAACTGATCTTGCATCGTCATAAGTTATAAGATCACCAGTTGCTTTTCTAAATACGTATGGAGCTTGCGCCACTTTGTCATAATGATATTCCCATTTGCCAGCAGCTATCTCGTCTGCTATTTCTCTGTAGTCCACCACACCGTCTTGCCAAGTACCTTTGACGGGTCCAGTAGCATTACCAGTGAAGGGATTATCATCTTTGTAGCCATGGACTCCTGTCCAACCTCGTCCATACATGGCAACACCCACTACAATCTTTTTAGGATTCACTCCTTGAGCCAGTAGGTATTTCACGCCGAAGTCAGTAGTGTAAGTCTCTTTTGGCTGCCATTCAGGAGCATACAAAGAAGCTTGGTGACCCAAAGTATCATTGGACCATGCTCCCTTGAAATCGTAGCTCATGAAAAATATGTGGTCCATGTATTTTTGTGCTGCATTGTAATCGACGACTTGGATTTTATCCCAACCGGCGCTAATGGCAGAAGTCAACTCATATGTCCTTCCGGTTTCAGCGGAGAGCTCGTTCAACATTTCGCGCAGTTCCTTCATTAGGAGTACGTAGATTTCCCCGTCTTTCGGGCTTCCAAGATTGGGGTTGGCGCCTTTACCTCCGGGGAATTCCCAATCAATATCTACACCATCGAAGAATTTCCAAGTCTGCAGGAAGTCTTTGACTGAGGCGACGAAACGGTCTCTCTTTGTCTTATCCGTGAAGAAGAAGAATGGATCAGCTAAGGTCCAACCGCCGACTGAAGGTAAAATCTTTAAATCGGGTTTGGCCTGTTTTAACATCATTAGTTGACCAAAGTTTCCTTTATAAGGTTCATTCCAAGAGGAAAGACCTTTCTGTGGTTTTTGAAGAGCGGCCCAAGGATCGTGAATGGATACTTTAAAGTCTTCGCGGCCGCTGCACGAGCGTTGCAGAGCTTGGAAACTGCCTTCAATCTCCTTTAAACTATCATTGATGCCATCACCGCCGCAGATTGGAATGAACCCATAGAGCAAATGGGTCAAATTGGGAATAGGGATGCGGTCCACAGGGAACTTCCTTGGGTATACACCCCATTCTACGAAGTAAGCTCCGAGTACTTTTCCCGAAGTTTGTTTGAAAGGTTTGTTTTTCTCTCCAATAGAATAATCCAGAGGTGGTAAATGACTGCCGTCTGTATCAGCTACGACAATCTCTGTAGGATCACTTGAGCTGCATCCGTCCGCATTGCAAAGTTCAACTACCATCTGGTATCTTCCTCCTTTCTTGACTTTGAAGGTGGCTGCACCAGAAGCACCGGCGGCACCGGACCAGAATTCCTTGCCGTTGAGCAACACTCTGGCTTTGTCAGCTGGATCTCCTGACCAAACGTTCCACGTTACTGAAACATCGGCAGAATCCCTCTTGGTGACGAGCTGATTGTAAGCCGTGGCAGCTTGATTGACTTCTACGATAGCAAACGTTCTCTCGCCCCAGCCGAGTGAAGGTTTCCCAGGTGGAGCGCAATGAACGCTCGCGAAGAACGCGATTACGACGAATGCCCACATCGATCCCATGTTTCTACGAAAAAAAAATATAAATAAATAAATAACTCTTAAATAAATGCCGACCGCGTGTTACATTTGAACGTCGGCGGTACACTGAGTCTGCATCTGCGCGTTATCATATATATAGCTTGTGTATTGTGGGACAACCGCTATCATCGAGAAGCCCGTATTGTTACGAATACTGGAACGATTTTGAGTGCTTAATAAAATCGTTAACCTAGTTCTTTATCCCGGTCACGTTAGTGGGACGGTCAAGGTAACTGATAGTTTAATTGTTATTTGATGGTTTGTTTTGGAATTTTTTTTATATGCCGTTTATGAGTTGCGCCCTGCTTGAGTCATGGTTAAGTCATCGTACGTTATCTCTAACTTTGTGTAAACGACCTACCACACCCACTTTTAACTCATCAGATATTTTAATATTTATCTGTTAACAACTGGCATGAGTCTAGAGACAATATTTTTTAATTGATTATAATCTATAAATGTATGTTTATTTACGATAAAGTCATTTTTGGCTCGGAAATTATTAGCGTCGTCTTAAAACTTGTTTTTCCAAATTAATTCCAGGATTCCAAAAGATGCGTATTAATCAAGATGAGATGAGATGAAAGGTATTTCATGTGATTCCCTTATTTATTATTCATTTTAGATCAACAATATCTTAAATTTAGATGCGTTCTAACTATATCGTTCAATAGTTGCAACATAAAAGTAAGGAATTGTCTAAGTATTATTTACTCCCGCTTTTATTACTTTAAGCTCTTATTAATATTCTAAATTTTTGTTAATGTCGCTTTAAACTAATGACAAATTTAATAGATATTTGATCATCTGGGTGTTTATCTTATACCATCTAGTATCGCGTCTACTCATCGTTTGTTATAAATATATATATATATATATATATATATATATATATATACTTGCATAGCTCTTTGGCGCAGTAATAAGCGCACTTGGACTGCGATACGGTATATGCAACTTTCGCAATGGTCGGTCATAGGATGGGTGACCAAAAATTTACTATAACAAACTCCTCTGTGCAATGCACGCTAAGCCATCAAAGCCAATCCGCAATGGGCCTGCGTGGTGGGTTATGGCTCATTCTTCCTATTCGATTCCATCCATAGGAAAGGCCTAAACCCCAGCATTGGGGACATTAATAGGTATATGATTATTCTCTCATTCTAGCAATAAGTATAGGTACTATATAAGCAATCTCTTTCTTCGCGGACAATTGGATTATATTGCGTGCGTTAATACTTCAAGCTTAAAAGCTTTTGAATTTTTATTTAATAAGCAATATTTGATTGCGTGCATTAGATTTATTAACAAACTGCAAAAATGGGAGGTTCTCAGTTCGAATTCTATGTATGTATGTATTTTTGTGCGCGATTATGTCGCGTTTGGCTGAACCGATTTATACGCGGTTTTCAGAAACATATTTTTAATGTTACATATTATATATAAAAATATCAATATCTCTAAAAAAACATGAAATTAAAACTTAAAAAAGTTAAGAATAATACTTATCTCAAAAGCGACTTGTTTAAGAAAATTCTATTGAAGTCGAGCGCCAATTATTGAATTAACAACCTATAGAAAAGCTCCGCCCGACTTGAATAAGTCACTTTTGATATAAGTAATATTTTTCACTTATTTTTAAGTTTGAAGTCAATTCTATTTTTTTTAATTGTTTTTATTATTAGACCACTTCACAATATCTTGCTCAGATTCCAAGATGACGATGAGCCGCCCCAACTCGAGACAATAATTTGAAAAAAACATTTTCCACATTGACACGACCGGGAATGGAACTCGGGACCTCAGGAGATGGTAACACATTGGAACCAGCGCGCGAACTACTCAACTACGAAGATAAAAGAGGTGCACGAACATACACCCGGTTTCTGAATTAAGAATTTAAAGCTAAAAACGTCTGATACTATACTTATACGTCACTTAAACAGGTTTTCGGAATGGGTTTTCGTTTCTGATTTTAATTTTCATAATGATCAGTTAATAGAACTAGAAAACTAGAGCTTTTTTGATTTGACGTAACAATTAAGTAATTAATCTGAGATGGGACTCGAAGTCCTGTTAGGTCCTGGGTAGTCAGTGGTTAGAGCAGTCGCCCGGATTCCGAAAGGTCGTAGGTTCGAGTCCCATCTCAGAGTGCCAGGGGCAAAGTGGATTGATTTGATCATTTTATTATTAAAAATATTTTTCAGTATGACATTGTGAATGCAAATCTGATTTAAATATAATACCATTTTTTTTACGCTGGGAAATGCATTAAATATAATACCTATATTGATTAATTGACTTTATACTTCTGGACAGATACATTTTTTATTACTTCTATAACTAAAACTAATAGTTCAGAACATATTATTAATTATCTTTTAACATATTAAATTAAGTAGGTAGCTACAAGAATTTACATTTTATTATTTACTCAAAAATTAACAGTTCTCTACTAAAAGCAATTACCTACAAAGTTGTTAAGTGGAAATTTTAACACATAAACTGTGATTGATGGCTTAAGAGAAATTAAGTACATTCTTGTATACTTAGCCGAAATAAGTTGTTTGGTGACCTAAAGTTGTTTATATTTAAAAAAGTTGTGACAAACTTCGTTTGTTACTTCTATATTTTTTAAGTCTATAAACCACCAGCACAAACTTACTAATTTTACTAAGTTTATATACTACCACCACAAAAGAAGCTAGAGACAATAATTTTCGGTCACCCATCCTATGACTGGCCTTTGCAAAAGTTGCTTAACTTCCATGGCAAAAATTAAGCAACGAATAAGCATATAATAAGAAAGCCAACATTATAATTAAAAGTGAATATAGACATTTTCATTCATAAAAAAAAAATTAAATCATCGAATTGTACTAATGGCGCCTTCAATTGGCAGTCATATCTTGAAATTATCTCAAACTATCATCATATCATCATTACAATCCACCTAATGATGTACCCAGTGGTGATGCAAAAGCTACAAATTAATAGGCAGAACGGGCCACAACTCATCACGCGAGCCCAATGCGGATTGGCAGGCTGCTAGGAGCAAGGATTGACGTGCCTTCAAAAACTCGTAGGAGCTCGATATTAAATAAAAATACAAAATGTTAATCGGACTAGTGCAAGAAGGGTTCCGAGTCATTAACTATGAAAAAAAAATAAAGAAATTCGTTTGTTGTATGAGAGCCTCGTTAAATATTTATTTAATTTCTTTTTTAAATACATCTTCTATAAAAATGTCAACTCTCTAACTAACTATCACGGTTCAAAAGATACAGCCTGGTGAAAGACGGACAGCGGAGTCTCAGTAATAGAGAACCGTTAAACCTTTGGGCATGGAACCATAAAAAAAAAGAAATAGCCAGTATTACACTCTATCATATCATAATTATTTCATTGAAGTTCAGTAGAGTTTTCTTCTCTCTCTTATCAAATTTTAACGAATGTTCTGAGATGAAATATATTTGGGTGACCAGAAGCGATGAATCTGCTCTAGGCAGAACCGCCATAGGATACGACATCTTAGCGATGTTAAACGACAACTCTACGTTAAAAAATAATTATTATAAATAAGATAGCAGCGTTATCAAATTAGTATTTTATCCTAAATTTATCAACCAAAAGACTAGTCAAAGAAATGGAATGAAATATCGTCATAACATCGATAAGATCTCGTATCCTATGGCTAGAATCATGGTTAGATAATGAGGAGGTCGCACCTCTTCACTACTTATTTTCTTTAATAATAATGACTCGGCTGCTGACTTATTAATCGGCTATCGAAAAAATATCTATTTTATTATTTCTGATATTGTAATGGAAAATGACTTCATAGTCTAATGTCTCAAATAAGAACTCTAATAAGACTCTCTATATGAAATAAAACAGTGACAAAAAAGCAACCCTTGCTAAGTTTCTTGCCGGTTCTTATATGTAAAAGATTAGCTAATCGATGGCGTACTTGGCGTAGTTGTTACTACTATTCACAAGATATTTTATTTTTTATAGATTCGAATATTGGGGCTGCACTTTTATATATTTTCACACGGCTACACGCGAGGTTACCACAATATGTCCACAATTGATTTCGAACTCTTTCTTTGATTATAATTAAAATGAAGAGGAAAATTTTTACTAGATTTTTGCATAACCTTATGTGTTGTTAACTGTACCTCAGCATACGATCGCACATGTTTATCCTCACGCGATGAATACGTGTTTTTTAAGAATTCAGGTCAATTGATGATTTAACTTCTTTTTTGACAATTATGTTGTTATAATTCCAACATGTGTTATCTACACCACTGAGTAATTATTTGCCCTAATCCAAATTCATTTAACTATGATCAACACAACCCGCGTTATCATAAGACGAGCACTAACTTTAGTATCAGGTTTTAACCATTATCGGGCCGAAATAACTCAACACGTCTCCATTTAATGTTTTCTCTTTTGTCATTGTCAATTTGCTTCATGAGGCCAATGGTTTAAACCAAGTACTAACTTTTGTCTTCGTTTTATATTAACACGATATGTGTAATGTTCCATATTCCTCACAGTAGTATCTCAACTCTCATTTATCTATTATCTATCTCACTTCTATTTATCTTTCTCATATCTATAGTTTGATGTAGTTTAATATGAAACCAACAAACAGGTATCAAAATTAACGAACTGTAGATTCTCAAGAGGCGTTTTCAATATTCTATTTTGGAACAGCCCAAATATCCTAGTGGCATGCCTAGATTGAGATAATTTATATCAATTAATATAGTAGTTTATATGAACCACTTTACTTAAAAATGTTGTGCTTTTTAAAAACAAATATTTATAAATATTTATTAGCTCGTTTTAACATTCGTATAATCATAAGTTTATGTCATATTCATAAAATTACTAGTGAAGAAGTTCTATATAGTGTAATACCATTGATTTTGCTACAGTTAAGGCGAGATTGTACGAAATTACCATTTTTTT